CTCCAGTCTCTTTGTCTCTGTTCATTCCATAGAAATGTCTGTCCAGTAACAAAAAACTAAAACCCATCAAGATTATTTTTTAAAACTCAAAGAATTGTTGGGAAAATAAGGAAGTTCATTTTCCTTAGGGTCAGAATCTCTTCATGTTTGGTCACTTTTTTATCTTTCTTTTCTTTCCTGTTGAGTTACTCTTTCGTAGTGAGGCCGTCTTGATCAGCCGGGATCACATACGCTGTGACCATCTGCATGACAACTGGAACCAGATGTATTAATGTAACAGTCGGAAACCATGTACGAAGACACAGCATTCGATGCTGCTGGTGTCTGGTAGACGTGTTTCAGTCTTAAATGTCAACCCTGGTCTACAAGTTCGCATGTACGTTGTTTTTTTGTTGTTTTGTTTTTTTGTTTGACTCCCTTTTTTAAGTTTTTCTGCTGATTGTGATTCACACAGACCTGACTGGTTCAGTCTGGTTTTGAAGGAGAGGTTTGAACCATGTGACCTTCACACCAACGTCACAGACAGGTTACACAGCTGTAGTCCAGGTCACATCGGATGATTGTGTTTCAAAACGTCACTTGTTTCTAAGAGCTGTAAAAAACAAAGAACGGGAAGTGTTCTTAATCACGGGAGTTAAAAATGCTAAATTTCAGGTTCTTGTTCAGTGATGATATAATTAACTCCTTAACCATAATTAGTCTTTTTTTTCAAAGAGGACAAACCCTGCCTCTGTACATTTTTAATAGACTGTGTAAAGTTGTCAGTCTGGAAAGACAGCTCTGACAACAACGCCGCACCAGTGTGTGTCAGTGCAGTGAGTTACTGTCATACTTCTGTCGTCTCTGCTCAGACCGGGCTTTAAAATACTGTTTTTATTGACCAACACTCCTGACACCATCACCAAACAAAGCAAAGTACCTGCTGCAGTCTGTCAATGTTTTATCAGTCTAATGCAATACACAGGTTAATGTGACTGAATGAATACCATTTGGATTGTACTGCAGTAAATGATCTACGGACAAAACCATAGTTTGGAAAAGGTACTGAAATGCATTAGTGCTGTTTGATCAGTAGATGTTGTAACTTGTTTTTTTTTGTTCGTTTTTTTTTTTTTTTAAATCCAAAGTTCAAAGTTTAATCTGATCAGTAGAAACTTTTTTCAGCCATTCCTAACCTACTGTGTGAATGAATCATAATCTGATTGAAACAGAGCCTTCCTCTCAGAGACACTGACTCTCATATCAGCAATGATCACATCTAACTTTATATTCCTGTTGCTCTTGGAGCCTTTCCTGTTTAATCAGAACCGGCTCAGAAGAAACCCTGCCTCACATGAAAGCTCTCTGTGCAAAGTTTACACACACACAGTGTGTAAACTCTCTGCCTTCGACCACATCTCACGGAGACTCTAATGAGAAATGGGTTCCTGAGTCTACAAACCCACCAGTGTCGTACAGATCTGCGCTTCTTTTTCTTCCAATCCGCTTCTCTCCATTACCCCCCCCCCATCCCCCGCCCCTCAATGGCAACGGTCAATATATACACCGCTAACTTGATTAACCGCGTGCGGAGCAAAGTTAATTTCTTTCAGAGTAAAAGGGTAGCCATGGCAACCATCTTATGAGGTCATCTGGTCTAAACATTAGCTCAGCGTGGCTGGCTGCAGAGCAGGCAGGTTTGCTGTAGCGTGTGCTTGTGTTGTTATGCATTGATACAGTAGGTTGATCTGTAGTGTTGTATTATAGACGTCCCACTTTGGCACTGGTTTAGATCGACAACTTTTATATTGACATTATAAAACCCTACAAGGTATAAAACATGAAGTTGGATCTAACTTGATTTTTTTTATTTCTTGATTTTTTTTTTCAGCTTCTTTAATGTGAATCTTGATATTATTTCTTTACTTTTGGAGATATTATTTTCCACATTTTCTCTTCACATCTTTGTGGTATAGAAGACCATGATGTTTTTACAATTATAATAATAATTATTGTTATTGGATCTTTGTGCTGCCAGTCTTCATATATAAATATATATATATATATATAAGTTTGGAATTCACACAAACACCAATTAAACCACAGCCTGTAATCAGGTTGCGACATGTGATTAACTCACAGATAGAGCTAAAAACCACACCTTTCCTTCCTCTTCTCGTGACCTATATTCACACTAGCAACTACTTCAGAGAAAAATGTGAAAAAGAAAAAGAAAAAAAGTATATTTTGTGGTACAAATCGCTGAGGGTTAGAAACATGACAAACGTTAATGAAGTCAAATAATCCTAAATATTCTCAATGCTGTAATATCTTTTGTCAGGAAGAAAAAAAAACAAAAACAGAATTCATTGCAAATTAAAAGTTGATGATGTGTTTTTCTTGTGTTTTTCTCCTGGAAGGCAGGTGTAGTAATATTCAGTCCCTCATTGGTTTGTGAACCGACTGACTCCGGCTGCTGTTGCTAAGCACCATCTTTCCCTCCACTGGGTAGGAGTCACGTGACCGCTGATGAGAATCACAGTTACTCCAGAGTGGGGCATGACTTGTGGGATGTGTGGTTTCCCCTCTGAATACTCTTCTAACACTGGTCGATTGAAGTAGGAATACTATAATACTGTAGTCACATACCGTCATAAGTCAAGTCTACTCCTACTCTAGTACTACTCTTTTAGTTGAGTATTTGCCTTCCATGGGTACAGGAGCAACTCAAGAAACACTATTGAGCAACACAGGAGTCTCACTGTCATGGAATAATCTGTATTTGTTTACACCAAATACCAACATGGACGCCGTAGTCCGACCTGAATGTCACTGAGTGACGGTCCACTACTAAAAGCTACCAGCTGCTCCAGTAGGAAACCTAATATTGAGCCGGAGTCGTTTGGAGTCTTCAGAAATAGTTAGTGATGTCATTCAAGGCCTCCGGTCGGGTCACTCTTCAAAATGACACTGAAGACCAGCTGTCTCCCTTTGTAGTCAACAGGGGGGGCCATGGGGCATAACCTTTTCAATGACAGCTCCTGCAAGCAGTGCCATTCATATCAAACAGCCATTTTAGAGAAGGCCGAGGAGCCAGGAGCTGTTTGGGTTCTCTGATTGGACAAGAATCATTTAAAGTGATCTAAAGTGGAATATCTCAATATCTGATTTCTTTGTCTTTGATTTATAACTAACCTTAGAACTAAGGCTCAGATCCTGAGACCTGAGGTGGGCTCACAGTTTAAGGTTCCTTGAAGTATTTTGCAGACATGTGAACACGTTTGTAATCTTATCACATTGTTGTTTGGCTGTGGCTTGTGATTGGCTGGTGGGATTTTTGCCCGTGGATGTTTAACCTTTCGTGGATGAGTTAATGATAACCAGCTCTGTTTCAGTTTTATCTCCAACGGAGCCTTTTAACTCCTGTCATGAGTGAGTCTTTCCATTAGCTGAATATATCTGTGGTCAGCATCTTCATGTTGCTTCTCCGTTTTTATATTTTCCGCAGCTGTAAAACAGTTAGATGTCACAGGCGTACTGGTGTGTTCCGCAGAACTGAGATAAAACTGAAAAAGAAAAAAAAAGGCCTCGTGTCACTCACGTTGTTCTCGAGCGCTGTGGCTTTTAATAACTTTTTCAATTTTATTTATGAATGTTGTATTAGCGGAACGCGCGACATCAAGACTTAATAAGATTGACTAAGCGTGGGAGGAGTGGTCGGGCGGAAAGCGGGAAGAGATGCTATTCGCTCTGAGGCAGTTACGTAACATCTCACTTGTCGCTCTCTCTCCGCGGAATGCCAGGAGAGTGTTTGTAAACATAGCGGCCATGTGCATGCGCTCACATGGAGGAAGCTTTTGAGTCGCTGCCCTCGCTGTCTCACCCCTGAGGTAAACCCTGACATCGATACGCGGTCACAGGGACAGCAACACTCCCTCTCGCTCCGTGCCATTCAAACACAGCCTTATCACTCTCACTCCATAATTACGCCGTAGCCTGTCGAGGACGAGCCACCTCGTGGAAAAAGGCCATCAAGTTGTTTTCGGGTGTTGCAGTTACTGAGAAGTAACATACACATGAAGGTTCACCTGCGTTAATCCACATCAGTAGTTTGACAAAATTCAGATTACACAGTAATGACTCAAAAAACAAATTACAAAAAAACGGTCTCACAGCCTTTACAGTCGGGACTGAGATCGGCCCCTGATTGCGGTTTTATATTTTTTTCGCGCCGACTACACTGAGATCGCCCCCTGATTGCGGTTTTATATTTTTTTCTCCATGGTCTCCATTGGAACAACAACCCCCCAGTTGCAAACAACAGAAATCAATGGTGTAAAAATCAATACCACATTCAGTCTCTCGCCATTTTGTCTCTGTAAAGCAGTTGTGCTGTGGCCACTATTTCAGCAGAAAGTGCATTTTAAAATGTCCAACAAGCCACCAGTCCTGTTGTCCTGTGTCGTCTGTGCACCCCATGGCTGGAAATATGATGCGTGGGCTGGGCAGAGCAGGGGTCAGAGGTGAGGGCTTGGTTGAGGGCTTGGGAATTGTCAGTGGACAGCATTGTTGTTGAACGCTATGGAAACTGCACATTCTTCCCAAAGGTGATATTGTCTCATCCCCTGGCAGTGACATAAAGGAGACTTAGGGCCATGACTAAGTAGCAGGGCAACTGTTTTATCTGTAGGTGTGGGTAGATGAGAGAAGCTCTGTGCATGAGATTGATCTATCTGGCCCATCCCCCACTCAGACCCATTAGAGCTGCTGTGCATGTGAGGCAGCAGTGGTGCAGAGCCTCATTAAAAAAACAACTCCATTAAGAACATTGTCTTTTTTTTTTTTATTGAAAAATATTTGGGTCAGGGATTTGTATTTTGCAAATCCTGATCTCTGTACAACAGTAGACAAAAACATGCTAAAATGAAATGTTGTATATGAGGTTAGTGTTATGTAAAGAATCCCTTCTGATTTGTCCCTTCATCTGGTTTTTTAGACCTGAGGGTTCTGAAGTTCTGGTCCGATTAATACCATTAAGGAGCTGCATGTGACAAACAACATAAGAGGCCTGTTCTCTACGGTGACCCAATGAGAAGAGAGAAATGCTCATCCCATCTTCAAGGGTTTCTTGATAGAAACACTGCCCATCATCAGTTCCAATAGTTTGTGTAATGATTTGACAGTGGGTTTCTAACACAACCTGCCTTGGGATTGGAAACTTTTGCCTGACCAGGAAGAATTCCTTGCTCATTCCCACCACTCCACTCGAGCCCCGTCTCTTTGGACAAATCATCCAAAGCACTAGCTACTGTATCTGATGCTGCACGATCACCTGATCTTAAGCAGCTGAAGCTCTTGTATGTGGAGAACGGTGTCACATGAGCACGCTTGTTGACACCACAGAGTCTTTGACCAAAGCGCGCCGTATCAAAACACCGTCATGCCATTGCGTCAGAGAGGCTACGCTAGCTTTCTGTCTCATCACTTTAGCGTAAATAATATTTGCGTTTTGTTCTTCTAGGCACAGTTAAATGTCAGATATGAGGATGTTAGATATGAGGATGTAACTTATCGTTGTCGCCGATAAGTTTTTAAAAAATCATGGATATGTAACTTATCGTTGTTGCCGATAAGTTTTTAAAAAATCATGGATTTTGTTCTTAAACATTGAAGTCCAGTCACCTGAGCTCATGTATTCGATTTGACCCCGTTGCCCCTTCACCTTCTTTAATGATTGGCTATCGTACTCTGACCAGCAGGCATTCCTGACACTTTTTTCCCAAGGCCCTACAGTTACAACTTTACAACACTACTCAGTGGAATACACAAAGCCAATAAACAATCCCCAGTGAGATCTAATGTTCTTCAAAAGGACTCTGAGATGCTAATCTCTAAATGTGAATTAACCAACAAATTAGCTAATTGCTTATTCAGATAAGACCCAGATCCCTCCCACAAAAACACAGGTTATTATTTAGCATTAACGCCAGCCTCGCAATGCTGTCATTGTAAATGACCCATTAACTAAAACTTTTTTTTTGGCATCGTTGGTCTACTGCTGTCCAAGAAAAACGTATTAATTGTCTGTGAGTTTTGTTCGCACCCACAGAAAACTAATCCCAGTTTAGTGTGTAGTCGAAGAACCGGTATCCAATGACAGAATTGCCATTCTTTTCTACCAGTTAATGGTGAGATAGGATTGGGTTTCACCCCCTTTAGCTTTGTGACCTTGCCTGGCTCCGCTAGCCTCTGTCACTACAATTCTCTTTTCTTATTGCTTCTTCTCGGGATTTTGTCTTTGTGTCTTGGTGCTGTTCACCGGTGAATGCATTGAGAGCTGTCTCTAAGAGATACACAAAGACAGATGCTATTCAGCTGCAGTCACTGTGCTCTCACGGCTGACCTGACCTGCTTGGACTTTTACTCTACTACAAACAGTCTCCCTCCCTAAAGAGCACAAACAACACACAGCCACGGACACCAGAGCAGGAAGCAGAGTTGGACAAACTGCATGCATTTAAACATTTAATGAAGAAGGCTGTGTCTGTGTGAGGACTGTGAATTAAACATGAAATACATTTAAATGAGCTCCTCTTTAAAAGAAAGAAAGAAAGAATGCACCAATATAAAAACTCAAACACACACACACACACATATATATATGCTAAAACACACCTTTACTAATATTAGCTTAAAGGCTAAATGCAAAGTTGACATGGAGAGATAATGAAAAATGTTATACAAGCAGCCCTACTCTCATCAAAGGCTAACTCCTGAACAAACAGCCTGTAAGTAAATATTTTTCAAGGATGAAATTTTAAAAGCAGCAGAAACGACCGGTGAACGTGAGGCGACGCTGCTACACAGGAGGTGTCTTTAAAATTACAGCCGGCAAAAAAGCAACAGAAAATCGTCAGCCATGTTGGAGGAGCTTTAATATCCCCTCCTTATTATGTTGCCCTGCTTTTTACCGAGGGGGGGAGAATGTACTACATGTCACTTGACACAGAAACACAGCGGAAAATACACAGAATGTTAGACTGAACAAAGCCCAGGAGGTCACACACTCCCTCGGTTAGGTCTCACCTTACTTCACGTCCCTCCACTTTGTAGAAATTCCAACAAACCGTCTGGAGCTCCTCTTTTACAAATCCTAAAGGGCAGCCATCTTGCCTCCTTCTGTTCTTCTATGAAACAGACTATCCTCCACATCAATATTCATGGAAACCACTCTGACGTCGGCTCTCATCATCAGCACAAGCCCGGGTGTCGCTGTTGGCTGGCTCCAGGAGCACGCCGGTGTGTCACAGCCGTGTGGGACAGCAGAGACACCCACCCTGGGTGGACAAGATGTTGCTGCAGGTCCAGGGGAAGAGCTGTGCTTTGCTGGCTAACTCTCATAATCAAAAAAATCACTTTCCTGCTGGGTCCTTCCCACACAAAGAGACAGGTTTTCTCTCCCCCCCTCTCTCTTTCTGCTCCCTCCTCTTTTTTTTTTTTTTCTTTTTCCCCTCAGCCGCACACAATAGTGAACACCATGATGGCTGCCCTGAAGCACTGGAGTGGATCCAGTGAACAGGACAGGACTCCTCCTCCCCCCTGTGCACTTTTTTGAATATTGCACTGGTCTCAACTGTCAGGCTGTGAGAGATGAAGGCACCTCCACCCCCTTCCTTTTTTAGACAGGAAGCAAAGTGACTCAGGGTTTTTCCCTCCCTTTTTTTTTGCCTATCTTGGTTTCCTTATTTCATCTCCTACCGTCTGTTTCAGGTTAAAGAAGTTCCCCTTTGATGTAACACCTCTGGATTTTTTTTTGTGTGCTCTGCAGCAACTGTCACATGTGGTCAGTTTTTCAGCCCAACCGGTTGAGCAACATGCACACTGCTAACAGCAGCGTCTTATTTTGGCACGCCTTGACTGGCTGGCGGACTGACTCGCTGACCTACTTGCTGCCTGGCTCATTTTTAGAGCGGGCTGAAAGACAACACTCCAGCCTGTCTACAGATACAGACAACATACTAGGCTTAACGTGTCTGCCAAGACCTACCTCCTGTTGACACCGGCCACGTGGGCTTGAAGGAGAAAGAGGCAGCAACGTAAAACACAACCGGGCGGCGGTCGGTTAGAAATATAAAAACAGTTGAGAGTTAGTTTGAAAGATTTTCCCCTTCTTTTTATTTAAATTTTGCAAGTAGAAAAACAGTATGTTTTTTGTTGATGCTCTTTAATTTACTGGTTCGTAGCCCGTCCTTCACTGTAATAGCAGATTCCTACTTTTAGAGCTGTTTTTGCAAATAATCACTTCCTATTGGCTGCAGTGGAACCTATTATTTTATTCCTCATTAAGTTCAGGGCTTTTGCATCAATAAACTGCTTTTAGCTCCACATAAAAGAGAAGACCCCGGCATTTTCTGAACTCATTCGTTGACTCAGTCGTTTCAGGATCCACAGCAGAAAAGCAAATTTGTTTTTAGACATAACAGGGGAGGCAAAGAAACAGGGAGGGGGAGGGGGAGTCACTCAGGCTGCAACACACAACCTACACAGACAAAATAGACCCATTGACATCTGGCCCAACATTTCTCTTGGCTCCAGAGCACTTGTCACAGAGTTAAACTGCCCCCGGTGACGTAGTTGGTCAAACGCATCATGAAAAAGTGTTGATTTTGATGTTTGTTTGTTTGTTTTTTTTGTCAGTCACAGCTGTAGTTAATGTGTGTTTTGGATGTTTGGAGATGTATCCTAATCTAATGTGATGGTTTAGTTAGCGTACTAGTTTTTAAGAATTTCTATTTTTTTTATAGGAAAGAAACCCCAAATATCTGGCCACGGAAAATTGACTCCCGAAAATAGCACAGAAGTCCAGTTTTGGTTTTCGGCAGAAAGACTTTTATCAACATTTTCTGTTTTCTTGTCTCTGAACAAATTGATTTTTTTTACACATACAATCTAAAATGGCTGCATTGATTTCCACCGTGTGTCTGTTCAGGAGGTCAGGGAGGACGACTCTCCGCTGGGCCGCGCCCCCTCCGCTGCTACTGTAACTCGTAAATAAGAGATTAAGTCGTCATTCCTCTCACCTTGTCACCTTTCAAAGGGGCAGCGGCGTGTGCCATCACCTCATCTGTAAACACAGAGCCGTGACCTCGCGCTGACCCGGGGTCATCAAAATCGAAGCACACTTGTCAATTGACCGATTTCACACCTGGAGATGACGATGAGCAACAATGAGGCGTTATTACTGTTTGTTGCTGACTAATGGTTTTCCCAGTCATACACATGCAGTGGGAATGAATCCCAACACAGTTTGTGTTTTATTCCCACAATTAGGTTTTATTTGAGCAGAATTAAACCAAAAAAAATTAAAAAAAATTAAACATAATTCAAAATGATTCACTGAGAAGAATGTTTTCCTCTCTGAAAACTGTTTGTGTTTTATTATTTGGTGTGAGTCATTTGGTCCTGGGGGGATGCGTCTGATTGGTTAGGAAATCCCTGATTTACAACTTTCCCCACAATAGCTCTGAAAGTGAGTGAAAACGCCGACATCTGAGGCGCGACAACTGCCACGCATCACTGAGCTGCGAGAAGCAGCACTTCTCGTGACACACACACCTCACCTGAGGCGATCTAAACAAACACTGAGCACACACACACACACACACACACACACAACTTTTTTGAACAGGGTAATGACTAGTTTTCTCAGATAAGGCCTAATACACAAGAGACTGACCGGGGGTTCCCATCCTAACAAGATGTCACCCACTGCTGCCCCTCCTCCTGCACTTATCTTAGAAGTCAGGAGAGTGTCGTTAGTGTGGGTCACACATAGCCTAATTGTTTAAGTCACAGTTGGTGGTCTGGAGGGAGGGGTCGGGGGGACAGTGTGCTGGGGACAGGTCCTCACAGAAACAAGGGAGAGTAACAGGAAAACACACTTCCTAAATGGAATTGTCATCTTAGTGTCCTAGAGTCTGTTTGTTTTTTACTTGTATTTTTTAATTTAACCAGTTTCACTTTCCTCCCGTTCTGTCCCATGTCCTCTGACAATGGACGCCGCCGTCCTCCCTGGGCACAGCAGGACTGGACCAAGCCACTCATGGTCTGTCGCTGTTCCCGTGGTGATCAACTGCTCCTGAGAGCTTTAAGAGCCGGTTCCCGCGTTCAGGCTGCAGGTGCTTCCATCCTCCGCAGTCACACTGCCCCGAGCTGAAACCTCTGGAGACACGTAGCCTTCATTAGGAGCAGGGAGCCCCCTTTCACCGGCGCTGCAGAGTAAGCTCTTCAGCCCTCATCATTCCACAGTGGAATGATTGCTTTTGTCCTGATTGTTTGGGAGGCTGTTGTGAGACAGTTTTGCTGTAGACTGGAGGGAGATTAAAAATAAGGTTTCATGACAGAGAGAGAGAGAAAAAATCCCTTGTGTTTGTGCGGTGAGAGCCTTGATGACGTCTGGTCTGATCAGTCGAGGGGACACACATGTCACACTTAGCAAAGTAAAAAAAAACATTATCAACTGTTTGTACCCAACTGTTCACTCTAGCCTTACAGACCAGCTCAGCTGTTTGGCATGAAGGAGACAATGACCCCTGCTGGTGAAGACATGTAATATATATATATATATATATAGACCTCCCCCAACTGTCTTAGCTCTGCAGTTTCCCAGTGCTTTTGTACTGGTCTTAGAGGGAACAGCAGGGCTGTTGTGCAGCGGCGCACACGTGTTCTCCTGGACTCTGATCTGATACAGACAACTGTCGCTGGACAAATGCAACTGTTAACAGCTTTAACTGACCCCCACAGTCAGGAGAAATGACACTTCTCTGACAGTTGGTCTGTGGTTTTCCTCTGACCAACTGTCCCCACAACAACCCAACAACCAGGACACCACTTTTTTTCTACTGCTTAACTCTCTTAAGCTTTAGCCTTTTGCTATAGTATATACTAACTTTTCAGTGGACTCACCACCCGCAGGAAGGTTTGGGTGGTTGTTACGGTGCAGTGTGATTTGGGTGGCCACTGCTGCCACAACTTGGTTGGGATAAAGAAGGAGTTGCCCGGCCGAAAAAGTTTGGGCTCCTCTGGTCTAGATACAGTCCTGACGTGTGTGTGGTTGCATCATTCATAGTTAGTAGTTCATAGTTATTCATTATTCATTATTCAAGTACTAAGGGCAAAATCTAAGCAGTTTGAGTGTGAAACATTGCTTCAGTCAGGACAGTTGCTTCACTCACTGGCTTGGCTTCAACACATCAGCCTGTTGAGCAGCCTGTGCCTCAGAGACTCAGGCAGCTGCAGAGCAACAACAGTAGCTGCAGCTGCCACGGCTGCTGCTGCTGCTGCTGCTGCTGCTGCTGCTGCTGCTGAGATGGTCTTTCCAGATAGACCAGACATGAAATCATTCCTTCACCTGCTCCAGCCCTCCGACAGCAAGACGATCCTTCCCCTGATACGTTGTCTACCAGCGACACGTAGCCCTCCCTGCGAACTGCTGCACCATAAAACACTTCATGCTGACCGGACATAAACACAGATAAGATAAACACAGATAAGAAAAGCAGAGCTGTGAAGTTTGTGATAAAACGGAACTTTATCTGACAACGGCAGAGCTTTAAGCTCAGGGTTTGAAATTAAAAAAAAAATTGTGATGCAGGTGTTGATGGAGATTGTGTTCTATTAAGGTAATGAAGGTGATGTGAGTGCAGCATAACGTCAGTGCCGTGACACATGAATCGTCCTGTAGCTCCACCCCTTCTGTTCTCAGCCAATCCCAGATTGGGTTAGTCCTTGGCAGCGACCTTGATATCATTCATCCCGTGCTGCTGTGAGCGTGGAGTGGTCGACGATCCATCGAACCTGAAGCAGCATCTGGTTTGACATGATTTACGCAAACACACAGGTGATGAAGGAAGTGCCCCCCCCACCGTCGACTCCTCCCCCCACTCACAGACATAGTAACATGCGCCTACATAAATTCTGACAATGTGCTGCATATGTGGCTCTTCCTCCACGACCTGTCTGCAGTTTGATAAAGAATAGCTCCAAATTCTTAGTGTACAGTTTGTAACGAACCTGGCATCCCATTCCTCCCCTGCAGGTGGTGCTGTAATCCCACATGGAAGTTCTCGTTCCTTTAGTTGAATGTGCAGATGCAGTTATATTAAGTATTTTTCTACAAATATATATATATATATATATATTTCAGTCAGTGTGTAGTAATGGATCTCCGATCATGAAGTTTCAGTAGCTTTCAAAGTTTTCGATTCTTCATCTGTCTGTTTCGTCAGTACTGCGATGGCCGCTTGACATCTAATGATGTCATATGTGACCCCTGAACCAGAATGAGTTTCTCCAGTAAAGGCTGAAGGTGGCGCCACTGCTGCTCCTCATCAGGAGGTGACATCAGGCATCAGGTTATAGGTGGTTCTGGGCATGTCTCACTGGGAGGAGGCCTGAGGGAAACCCCAGGATATCCTGCGGGGGGCGATGTTTCGGGGTGGTCTGGGAACGCTAGGCTGAGTGGAGGGAAGTCTGCTTCTCTGCTTTGGCTGCGACCCCAGGGCCCAACCTTGATCAGTAAAGCTTTAAATTTATACTGAGTGTTCCAGAATTTTCTGCACTGTTTATAAACAGAGACATTTTTGTTCACTCTGTCTTATCATGGTTCTTAAAATTAAAAAGTTTTCATTTCAATCTTATTAGGGATAATAAACATTACCCTAATATTTTTTTCCAATTTGGTGAAAATGACAAGAATCCACTGTGAGTTCAGGGAGACGAAACGACCAACACAGAGGGTTCGTTAGAAACGAACGTCAATGAGTCAACTCAAAACAATGAGGTAATTCTTGACTCATAGCAGTTGGGGATTAAAAGTTCCCCTTCACTTTTTGGACACAGCTCCAGTGTAATGGTAATTTTAATATTGGGAGACATGTCCTAAATGATTGAATGTGCAGATGCAGTGGGCTTGTCCGTCCCCAGGGCTGGGGCCGGGGTCTCATTAGGGTTTCCAGTTATGACAGTGGTGAAAAGGGAAGAGCTCTGGGTGGGAGTTGTTAAATATATCATCAAACACGTGAGTCTGCTCTCTCTCATTATAAGTTTAGGGAAGGGAGTAGTAGTAGAAGGAGGGGCCATGACGGGGACTCAGATATTGGTTGTTGTTTTTTAGATTTCACAATAGATTGTTTAAATTGCGAGATTAATTGTAGTCGTGTTGTGTTTAATGACAGCAGTTGTTGTTCCATCTGATTGTCAGTAAATTTATACGATTTATATTTAATTCTCTATTAGGTTAAAAACAGATGTATTTATTTTTAAAGTACAAAAGAAAAAGTTACACATGATTTCCATTCCTTAATTTTTATGTAATATTAACTTAAAATTAAGATAGATGTGTCACAGCAACTGCAACAAAATATAATAATAAATAATTAAAGAGATCGATTCATATATATCAGAGTATTGATATATAATAATTTAACAAAACAAATCTGTCTGCAAAAATCCCCGCCCACTTCCTGACCCATCGACGTCAGTGGTATACATTGTTACATACATTAAATATCCACTAGAGGGCAATGTGTCCAATGCATTCGTCCGCATATAGGTTTCATAAGGACGGCCAATCCTGACAAAGAGGAATGAGAGTCAGATGTTTCACCAAGCCCAGATCTGAGCATCAGCTGAAATTTATATTTTTATTATTTTTTACCGTTTGTTACTTAAATAATCACTTAATGCGACACAGTCCATGTTTCAGTGTTAAATAGGAATAAAAAAAACCAAGAGAACTATAAAGCTTGCTATAAAATGATTTATAAATAAATAATTACAGGGTTAAAACAAACATGAAATGATGAAATCTTTGGAAATTATTTTACAGTTTTTACATGGTTATTCTCTGGAAAAATGATTTTTTTTAATGTAATGTCTGCAGCAAATGGCCACATGAGCATGTGTGTAAAGAGGCTAATTATAAAAATGATCACAATATTTAGTCCACACATGTCAGTGTTTTGTTTTCACAAAAAAAAAAAAAAACCACCTGCCTCCTCTCTGTCTCTCTGTCTCTCTCTGTCTCTCTCTCTCTCTCTCTCTCTGGCTTCATCTCCCCCGCCCCTCTCTCTCCCCTCTCCTGCTATCTGTTTCTCCCTCCTGTGGGATCATGGGAATTGAGCATGTAGCGTGGCGTTCTACGCTCTGCCCGCGGCGCTCCAGGAGGAGGCGTGCAGTAATGACCTGCTCCTCAGCTTGCTCGCCATCATCGCCCTCACAATTAATTCCCTCCACGCG